AAACCCACTAAAAAAACATAAAGAAGTTTGTGGCTGTCTCCTAACTACACCAAAGAGTGATTAAATTATGATCCGCATTCCATGTGTTAGGCAAAAGTAATCCATAAAAAAATACCCCCATGTTTTAACACTGTATAAAAGATCAAACTTTTGAAGAAAACTAAGTTGAAATGCTATTATTTTTGTTACTTGCAACATATATAATACACTTAGTAAAGGGTATTATTAAGAATGAGATTTTCAACATGTATACGTATGTTTTTTATATGTAAACTATTTTTTTAACTTTATTTATTATTTTTAGTGATAATTTATTACATAATTTTTACAAAGTGTAGAAAGAAAATAAGTATTTAATTTAATTTTAAAAAAAACATGAAAATATATTTAATCCTTAATTTTTGAAAAATATATATAATTTAATGATTTTTTTCTTCAAGAGTTTTATTTAACGTAATTAAGAAATGAACTTTAAACTTAACTCAACCTCTAGATTTATAATATATTATAAATTGATCTTACTTCTAATCGATACGAAACTTCCAACACAATCTCTATATATATTATAAATTCACATCTCAATTCTACTCACCACATATGTTTTTAAGATAAAAGGAAAATTGAAAGATTACATATAATAAATTCCTTAAATATGGAGAGAAAAAAACCTGTTAAGCCAAAAATATACTATCACTTATGATATTTATGTGTGAAGAAAGTTTTAAACTAAGCATTTTGGATGGAGAGATTTCATGTTTCAATGATGTAGGATGCCAGGATATGAACTAGGTACACACAAAAATGGGTCTGAATTGATGTTAGTGGATTACCAAAACGGTTCCACAAATGCTCCTCTACATTGACTATTGTTGACTACCGTAAAAGCATGTACCACAGAAAGCAGGGATGATGATCTGTTCACCATTAATAAATGCATAAACTTTGGAACAGTTTATATAGCATCAACCGCTTCACATTAAACTGACATACATTTCACCAAAAGTCCTCTGCAAAATGGTCTCAGCTTCTTCTCCCCCTTCTAAGGAAATGGTACTATACTGTTATCAACGTAGTTTACTCAATATTTGTTTTCTAAACAACACTCTTCTGTTATGTCATCTTCTTTTTTTCTTTTCTTATTCATGTTGTTGCATGTTCTACACTTGTAGGAAGCTAAATCAGATCAGAAATGGGTGGAGAATGGTCCCTCTCGCAATGCCAAATGGTGGTACTCAACTTTTCACACTGTGACAGCCATGATTGGTGCTGGTGTGCTCAGTCTGCCCTATGCCATGGCATATCTAGGATGGTAAACTGCAACTTATAGCTTTAAGTCTTTGAAATGCCACAAAGGTGGCAACTTGAGCAAAATATATTATGTAACTGAGTTTTCTTTTTCCTTATCTTTGAAGGGTACCAGGGACCTTGATTCTGTTTCTAACTTGGTGCCTGACCTTAAATTCAATGTGGCAAATGATCCAACTCCATGAGTGTGTCCCCGGAACCCGGTTTGATCGTTACATTGATCTTGGTAGACATGCTTTTGGACCAAAGTTAGGACCATGGATTGTGCTGCCCCAGCAACTGATTGTGCAAGTTGGGTGTAATATTGTTTATATGGTCACCGGAGGGAAGTGCCTGAAGAAGTTCATGGAGATTGCTTGCACCAATTGTACTCAACTCAAGCAATCTTGGTGGATTGTCATTTTTGGTGCCATCCATTTCCTCTTGTCTCAGCTTCCCAATTTCAACTCCGTTGCAGGAGTTTCTTTAGCAGCTGCAGTGATGTCACTGAGGTATTTCTTGATTTCCACATGTCTAGGGGAGTTTCCATAATGGTCCTGACCATTCTTTTGTATTATTGAATATCTATCTTTCTGATTACTATGAAATAGATGTTTTGATGCAAGGATCATTTTTGGCCTTAATAAATGTTGGGACCATTGGAAAAGCCACCCATGTCTTCACTTTTCTGGCACTAGCTTTCCATCATGATCACTATCATTCAATATTTAGCAGATTTGAGGGGTTACTGAGCTGGCTTGGCATTTTGCACCCATGTAAGGAAGATTCCAGGGAGAAATATGATTGGATTCTTCCCAGGATGAGTTATCCATGTGAAAACTGTCCCTGAAGCTCAGAATTTTCAGAATTTGATATGATGAAGCCTAAATATTTTGTAGAAAGATATCATCAAATTTACCCTTTTGGCTATGCTTGTGAACAAGCAGAGCCACATGCATGACTTTTAAAACTTGGCAGAGTCGGTTGAAAAAATCCAACTTTAAGAAAAGATCTTTGCTAGAACACATGGTTGGATGAGTTGAAATAAAATATAGTATATACTATTTAACACTCATTGTTTTTTGTGAATCCAGTGGCTTCTTATTAGGTTGTGTTGAATTCTACTGTTTTCAAAAGCAGTAACTTACTCTTCTGGTGCTTTGATTGCAGCTATTCAACTATAGCTTGGGTAGCATGTTTGGCTAGAGGCCGTGTTGACAATGTTAGCTATGCATACAAGCAAACCAGTTCTACGGACTTAATGTTCAGAATCTTCAATGCACTTGGTCAAATTTCATTTGCATTTGCTGGCCATGCAGTGACCCTTGAAATTCAGGCCACAATTCCATCAACCCCTGAGAAGCCCTCAAAGATACCAATGTGGAGAGGTGCTATAGGTGCATATTTCATCAATGCTATATGCTATTTCCCACTGGCACTGGTAGGATATTGGACCTTTGGAAGAGATGTTGAGGACAATGTGCTTATGGAAT